TAAAGTGTGCCATCCCTGATTTTTGCATGTATCCTCTAGTAAAATTGTTACTTCTTGAGCAAGGGTGATGCCTAACCTGTGATGGAGCTTATGAGTGGTCCCAAGTTCTTGAGGGGTAACATTCTCTATGTGCTACTCAATACATGTATAAGGAGACACGAGAGTGGAAGTGGTGTTATTTGTTGTATTCCTACAGAGGTGTAGAGCTATGCTGAAAACACTGTATTTCCTTGTGTTGAGTGTGTATACTCGTGGTTGACAATATAATATGATGAACAGTCAGGCTGTGTTAAAGTTTTAGTAATATGTGTAATTTAGAACTAAACTTCTGCTGTGTCTAAATCTCTTACTAAAAATCAGTGTTATATGTTGTTCACATATACACAAGTGAATAGTTATGTATGAAAATGTATAGAATTACATTCCTGCAGAGATGTTGAGCTATTTAGTAAAAACTGCTCACAGAAAGTGCATCCACACTAGGAAAAACTCCATCTGTGATTTTGGGTTCATTTTTCCAGAGAACAGCCCTGAATAATGTTTGGACCTTCCCTGAAACTGACCCTGATTCCAGCAGAAAACCCTCCTGAGGAAAAAAAATACAGTGTTTGAAGTATGAAATTAAACTTTGCTGTTAACCTAATTGGTTTACCTGTATAACACAAAATCCATTTTCCAAAAATTGCAATGTACAGCTCCAAAAAAATAAATTTTCAGTCAGAAAAACATTCATATTATTGTGTGACAAAAGGTGCAGAGCAATTCAATTCTAGACTATCAGGTACAATGCTATACTTCTATTTTTATTTCATATTTTGTTTACTTGTGCCACTCAATAGAGTGCCATATGGTTTCCTGATCTTGTGATACCAGAAAACCATATACTTAGCCTGCAGGGAGAACAGCATTCAACCACTACATTTAAGTACAACTACAGGTGATAAGGTATTGTGTAGAGTGGTAGGTAAGTCTGCCTAAAACTGCTAGGCTTAAAGTATCATGTTTTAAATAGGATGTGTAAAACCTTTACATTCAATTACACATTGATAGTTTGGGAAAACTTCAGTCCATTGTTGGAATGTAGGTTTTGCCAATCAACACTATATACTGAAGAATGAACTCCAAGGCTGTTACAGGGTAAATATACCAATGCTGATGAAACTGATTCAGCCTTGTCATCTAAACTATTCAGTTTAAACGTTTTAAACTGTTAAGTGTTAAACTTGCAACTCATCATTGAGCCAGAGTGCTTAGCATGCCACTGTCAATTTAGTTTATTGATGTTAATGATCTTCCAGTTCTCATATGCACACAAAGAGGTGAATAGATCACTACCTGTCCTTATCTTCTGGATAATCACACCAACTGATAATGGCTGGAGACGGCTTGAATGGGTAATGAAGAAAAACTTTAATATAAGTTTAACATAACAGCAAATGTACAACGTTTCGACAACCTGATGATTACAAAACCTTGTCGAAACATTGTACATTTGCTGTTTTGTTAAACTTATATTAAAGTTTTTCTTCATTATCCATTCAAGCCGTCTCCAGCCATTATTAGTCTCAAAGTGAGTTCCTCGTCATGGAATTTGAAAACACCAACTGATGATGAAGTGAAAAAGATGGTAAGGGAGCCAAGTGGCAACTGAGCTCTTAACTCTTTCCCTGGCTCAAGCAGTGTTGCACAGGTAGAGAGCACGTATTACTTTTGTTCACCATGAATATAGGTGGCTTTTCTTCATAGATGAAAGAGCAGACAGAGAAAAACAAAACACACATGTGCCACCAAAAACTGGGTGATATGTTTATTATATGACCCAGGAGTGCCATGAGTGATGTTGGCTTATGTCAACTGAACACCAGAGGGAAAACAGTGACATTTCAGGCTCAGTGTGTGTGTCTGCAGGTTATCTAACAAATTTGGCTTCTTCATCATTCCTAGCTAGCCATATATGAACCAAACACAGGTGCTTTCAGCAAAGAAATGACCACTGTCTCAGTAATGGCATCACTGCTTGACAGATAACATATTTGCAGTTTACCTTTAAAGGGTTGAATTAACATCAAAATAGAAAATGAGAGAAGTTCAGAGTGAATCAAAAATTTCATTTGGTAGGGTAGAGTTTGTGGTGACAATTGGCCCACATCATCAGAGGGTAGTTGAATAGCTTTTGAAATTGATAAATTGTGTTGAATCTTCTGATCATTATTTCTACTTCCTTTGTTTACTGATGATTTGATTTGTATTACCATATTAAGCAAAAGATATTTCATTTCATTTCATGATCTTGCTTGCCTCTCCTGTTAATGTAATTCCTCTTTAGATTTTTATAACTTCACAATGTGAAATATATTTAGTAGTTTCTAACTCTCTTAAAAGGGGGTCAGTCCTAGGGACCATTTTTACTTATATATAGTTTTAATACTATAACTTTAATACAGTGTGTGTATCATTACAAAATTTGACAGACTTTTAGTACACATTACAAGTATTTTGTACACAAAAAAATCAGTTTTTTTAATGAAGTATTTTTTACTAAAGATTTGTCTGTGAATATATTGAGTAATTGTTTTGAATAGTCGTGTGCAAAGTGATTTTCATGTTAAGATTCAAAATACTTTTCTTCATCTCAAAAATCTAAGATTTGATTTCTGTAATCTCTAAGACCTCCTAAATACACTTCAAATGTTTGTTTTCACTAAAACTTTATATTTTATCTGTTATTTTCTCTATCCTAACTCTATACAACATTGGTCAATTTGACCAACCTCATAACCACCAAACAAAAAATCAAAATAAATCTAAATTACCCTTATTTTTCTTTCTAGAATGACTTCAAACTGTAACATGAAACTACATTTATCCTAAGTAGCTTTAAACTTGTAACAGTACATATCTATTTATAATTAAATTTTATT